TTAGCTGCAGGTCGGAGTAATGGGCCTACCGAAAGGTGGCATGCTGAAAGGTGAATGCTACAACAGAAACTAACCCCTAACCCTACAACTAACCTTAACAGACAGCTTTCACTACCAATTATATAGACCTTTCTCCATGCCCCAACCTTTCTCCACACCCAATGCTCCAACCTGCCATGACCCACACCTGCAAAAACGCACTAAAGCAGGTTTTGTCATCAAAGCATGCAATCTGAAATTTGAATTCCAATTCATCATTTAGGATTCTTATCTTAACCAAAACTGACCCATAAATGCCACCCAAGCAAAGCCTAACAGACTGAGGAGCAACTTCAACAACTGCAGTTAATATATTCAAAAGCAATGGAAATACACACCTGAACTTTACGGTATATAGTTAGATTGTGTGTTATATTCATATTACACTGTAGAAGCCAACACTGTAGTACTGTACATAGCATTTTATATTGATACATTAATTTTCAATTCTTCACCTTGTTTATTTATTGTTTGTGTACGAGTGTGTGATCTTGTGTGATCTTCTACACTGCCTGTACTCATACTGTAGTCCAGGGGGGGGAACGTTGATCCTGGAGGGCCACTGTCCTGCAGAGTTTAGCTCCAATCCTAATTAAACACACCTGAAGCTAATCAAGGTCTTCAGGATTACTAAAGTTACAGGCAGGTGAGTGTTTTTTTTCAGGGTTGGAGCTAAACTCTGCAGTATAATGGCCCTCCAGGATCAATGTTCCCCACCCCTGCTGTAGTCAGTAAGCAAATAAGAATTCCATTGCAGAGGTTTATTTTTTTGCAATAAAGTACCCTACACATTAGCATACATTCAATGTGGAGTTCTTAACATTACAACAGAGCTAAATATTTTGGGATACTGATCCATTCATTACTTGAGCAAAAACATTAATTAATTACTTAATTTAATAAATAATTTGAATGAATTTACTGTACATCAGGGGTGTCCAACCCTGCTCCTGGAGAGCTACCATCCTGCAGATTTCAGCTCCAACCCCAATCAAACACACCTGAACCAGCTAATCAAGGTGTTCAGGGTTGCTTGATAATTACAGAGAGGTGTGCTGGAGCAGGGTTGGAACTAAAGTCTGCAGGACCGTAGCTCTCCAGGAGCAGGGTTGGACACCCCTGATGTAGATGAAAAGGTCACTGATATTATGGAACACAACATTAACAGATTGTAGATACAGATTAATACCAACCTTTCTGAGACGTGTCTTGGATACAGATTCCACTGGAAATACATCCCGAGATGCATGGAATGGACATTCTGCACAAATGTCAAATGTATAAATTACTTAATAACTAGAACAGAGAATGTCTAAAAGTTAAAACGCAAAACAATTTTGTAAAATCTAAGCAACACTGAAACAACAAATAAAAACATCAATATAATGAGACCTTTCCAAATGGATGACAATGTGTAAAAGACTAGCAATGCAAAGAGCTAAACCACTGGTCTCAAACTCAGTTCCTAGAGGGCCACAACTCTGCAGAGTTTTGCTCCAACCGTAATGAAAGACACCTGATCCAGCTAATTAAGATCTTCAGCATTACTAGAAGCTTCCAAGCAGGTGTGAGTTGGAGCTGGTGGTAGCTAAACTGTGCAAGGCTGTGGTCCTTTCAGTTTGAGACCACTGAAAACTGTTTTGTATAACAGTGTATACTTGTGTCTGTCTTTTTTTGGTGCTTTGCTGCCATGTTGACCACTGACTTGCTGTGAAGTAAAAAAAAAAAAATGTTTATCCTTAGTTCAAGGACATGTCAAAGAACAGTTTTCATTGAGCCCGAGTTCACATTGCTCCTTGCTCATTGTACTGGCTTTACAAGTCATTTCACCCTGCGCTCATCTTTGAAATGTCTCTTGGGCATCCAAGTGCAGCTCCTATCTCTCTGAATGGGGTAACGTCAAATTCTCAAACTGTTCACGAAGATTATAATTAAATTTCAGATTTGAAATCACCAATAACATCCTACAACAACGGTCTCATAATTTTTTTAACTATGTTCATAAAGCATTTTAAAAAAAAGTACTTTTCAGACTACCGCAGCCAATGCGCACACGTTTCTCAGAATAAACTATAGCAACCGGAGCTTCTAAAAGCAGTTGGGATGACGTGGTGACTTTTCGAATCAACGATTGGCTCTTTTATTTAGAAGGTGGGACTAATTTGCCATGTTGTGCGTTACACTTTCTCACATTGATGAGTAATAGGAGTGTAACATTTTCCTAGAGTCTTTGCTTCACCCCATCTTTTTCTACTCACCAATCTGTTTTTAATATGACTGCCTCTATCTCTCTTCTGTCTTCCATTTCATTCATCTTAAGTGCAATAATCTTCATTCCTTTGCCTGTGTAGTCTTTTTAGTCACTTTCATCTCTCCTTCTTCCTCAAAAGGCCTCTCTGGTTCCCCCCCACACACTTTCTGTCTGTTGTCCTTCGATCTGCTCTTTATCCTCCAATCCTCCCTTCATCCTCACTTCTACATTGTTCTCTGATAAAATGTCCTCTTCATCTTCTACGACCTCTTTTAAGTCTGGACTCTCTGTCCTATCACCTTCTGTGACCTCTTGTTCTTTTTCTGGACTCAAACCTTAAAAGGTACCATCAAAGTCATATTAAAATGCATTAAAAAAAACTTTGAAATAAAGTGCAGTTTAACATAGAAACTTGTATAGCTACAGAACTTACTGTACATATTAAAATATTAGACAAACATTTAAGTATCAGTGCTTGCAAATATGATTTACCTTGTAAAATATGCTCAAAGAGTATGAGCATTTTTTCCATCACCTTATGTCCCTCAGGTGGGAACTCAAAGGGACACTGGACCTCTGCTGTCCACTTATGGGCCTTTGAACGTTTCCCCAGCAGAAGAAGAGGAACATATCCCAGAGCTTTAAGCTTTTCCATCTAAAATATAAGAATGTCCAATAGTACAGCTTATAAAAATGGTTCATAATAATTCTGAAAGAAACAGTTTTAAAAAATCTGCGTAGCCTCGTGTCACGCCAAGCCAACATGTTTTTTTTTTTGCTTTAACACAAAAACAGAGATTTTGTTTTTAAATGTCCAGGCTTATTATTTATATTGTACCATACAAACATTCTAAAAGGCTATCCAAAAACACAACTTGTGAGGTGATGAAATTAGGATGCTGAACATTGCTTACCATGATAGCTAAATTGTCAAGGACTTTTGACTGATTCCGTGACTTAACTGTTGTTTTAGCCCACTGATGGGCTTGGTCACCACATTTTGCCAAATGCACTGTTTATAATAATGAGATTTCTCTCCCATTTTAAATTCTTATTCTCCAATGAAAGGTTACATTTTAGTACATTTTTTAAATAAAATATCTGAAGGATTGATGATACAGATTAATTTTCACAGCCTTCTTTTATCATATTTACCGAGGGTATGAATAATTTTGAGCACAACTGTAAGTGATTTGTCCAGTTTTCTCATCAAGAGGAAAGAATCTTTGGTCCAGATGAGACAGAGAACTTATGGGCCTAAATATACAACATTTTTGTTGTTGAAAATTGTATTCAAAGAGTTTTTGACTACATTTTTTAAATTTTAAAACGTTTTTACAGACATGCTGTAGAGACATTGATGGTCAATAATTAATTAATTAATTTTCTTTTTCTTTTTCTTTTATTCTTGGTAGGCTATAATTTTATTTTATTATTTTATTTTATATTATGTACTTTTTTATTCTCGGTAGGCTATTATTTTATTTTATTTTATTCTTGGTAGGCTATAATTTTATTTGATTTTATTAAAATAAAAATTATTTTATTTATTTTTATTTTTTATTTATTTTATTTTTTTATTTTTGGTAGGCTATAATTTTATTTTATAATTTTATAATTTTATTTTATATTATATATTTTTTTATTCTCGGTAGGCTATAATTTTATTTTATTTAATTTTATTAAAATAAAAATTATTTTATTTTATTTTATTTTACTTATTTTAATTTTTTATTTATTTTATTAAATTTTAAATTTTTTAATTTTTGGTAGGCTATAATTTTATTTTATTATTTTATTTTATATGATGTATTTTTTTATTCTCGCTAGGCTATAATTTTATTTTATTTTATTAAAATAAAAATTGTTTTATTTTATTTATATTTATTTATTTGTTTATTTAATTTTTTATTTTTGGTAGGCTATAATTTTATTTTATTATTTTATTTTATATGATGTATTTTTTTATTCTCGCTAGGCTATAATTTTATTTTATTTTATTAAAATAAAAATTGTTTTATTTTATTTATATTTATTTATTTGTTTATTTAATTTTTTATTTTTGGTAGGCTATAATTTTATTTTATTATTTTATTTCATATTATGTATTTTTTTTAGTCTCGGTAGGCTATTATTTTATTTTATGTTATTAATTTTTGATCTTTTTCTTTTTCTTTTTCTTTTTTTTCTTTTCTTTTCTTTTCTTTTCTTATATAAAACATTTTTATTAAAATAAAAAATATTTTATTTTATTTTATTTATTTATTTATTTTATTTTATTTTTAATGTTTTTATTCTTGGTAGGCTATGATTTTATTTTATTATTTTATTTTATATTATATATTTTTTTAATTCTTGGTATGCTATTATTTTATTATTATTTTTTTTTCTTTTTCTTTTTTTCTTTTCTTTTATTCTTGGTAGGCTATACTTTTATTTTATTTTATTTTATTCTTGGTAGGCTATAATTTTATTTTATTAAAATAAAAATTATTTTATTTTATTTATATTCATTTTTTTATTTTTGGTAGGCTATAATTTTATTTTATTATTTTATTTTATATTATGTATTTTTTAAATTATCGGTAGGCTATTATTTTATTTTAGGTAGGCTTTTTTATTTTACTTTACTTTACTTTACTTTACTTTACTTTACTTTACTTTACTTTACTTTACTTTACTTTATTTTCCGCCCCGCACGCGGTCCAGCATGTGGCGACACAGGCGTCTTGCCCTCACAAGCATGGCCGCGCGCAGGAGCGTCGCTGCGGGAAGGAGTTTATCTGCACTTTTAAGGAGCTCGTGAGTCGTTACTGTGCTATGCTGCTGTGCGTTTCTGTGTCAGTAACGTCTGTCAGGTGCTTAGAGTCGCGTGAAGCATTTGCGTTTTAAAGACTCGCGATATTTACAGAGTCACTGGCAAAGTCTGATGAGGCAGATGCAGGGTACTTATTAAACAAATAATGCCATGAATATTTATAAGTTAATACACTGTTTGAATATATGTTATTCATTTTATAGACTGCAAAAGCTGGTTGCTGCAAACCTCCCATTACAAAAACGACCATAATCTTCTCCTAAATATTATAGCAGAAACCTTAAAAAACACTATAATAACGGGATGTTTGTCAAACATGGGTTTTATTTTACTAAGTAATATGTAGTAGTAATTTGTCAAAAGCCATGACTACCAAAACAATGCATTATGCTAATATAATCTTACACTGTAATATTATTATAAACTATTTTTTATATTATTGAATATAACAATAATTTTTGTGAAGGCACGTCATTGTAGATCTTAGTAGAGCATATCAGGAAAATGCCCTATGGTGAAGTAATAATTTCATCAATTGAAGTAATAATGCATATACTTGTAATATATAATTTATAATTCGCTGTGCTCAAAGGTATCCTGTGTGCAGTTACCATGGGACAGGGCTCACCAGGCCACCCCTTCACAAAGTGGCCAGAAGTCCCATTCCACAGCAAACAGCCGCTGTGTTTAGTAAGTGTTTGCATGATTCAGGTCGCATGTGACGGGGAAGCGTTTGCTTGGAATGGATCGTAACATTTCTTTCGTCTCATCAAGTCAGAAACATGTTCATTCAGACCCAAGACACTCCGAACCCAAACAGCCTGAAGTTTCTTCCTGGGCGTGTGGTGCTGGAAGCAGGGACTATGGACTTCGCTGGACCTAGAGATGCGTATTGTTCACCCCTGGCACGGTAGGGTTCGTATTTCATCCAAAACACACACTTTTTGCACTGCATTTTATATTCTGGAGGCTGATGTAATTGCTTATGAGTCATTCCGTGTCAAATCAACCAAATTTCGGAAACTTCCCCAGCTCAAATTTTCGATTTTGTTAATATATTTTTCTGTAGAAAGACAAATATATATAATGATGAAATCCAAAATATTAAATATCACAGATGTGCATTTACTGAGTAATCCACTATTTTGTAGAGGGGGTCAAAATGACAATTTTCTGGCAGCGTCATTATATTATTTTTACACAGAGATTGGTAAGTCTAGTAAAATCTATTGGCTTTAGCAATCTTTGTTTCATTATATGCTAATGGTGACGGTTCAAAAATGGCGTTTTGTGTTTTTTGCCTCAAGTTTGCGTGCCTGTAACTCAAGAAGTATTAAAAATCTCTTAATCTCATTTTAGATTCTGGTTCTTAACAAGCTTTTCTTTTGGTATCTTCATTTTAAAGGCCCTGTATGGTTCAATCGCTGAGATATGGGGATCTTAATGTAGCTCCATGAGTAAACTGGACAATTGTACACATTTTCAGTGGTCAAAAACCAAATGTGGGTCACTTTGCATACAGCTAATACTTTATTCTTTTAAAAGAGGAATGTCTGGAGAACAAATCAAAATGTTGAAACTAGCAATTAATCTCATTTTTTTTCTATCAGCTCAATTGAACAGAACAGACCTTTCTGAGTGTCATATACAGGTGCATCTCAATAAATTAGAATGTCGTTGAAAAGTTCATTTATTTCAGTAATTCAACTCTGTTGAATTACTGAAAGTAGTAGTTTAAGTAGAAAGTAGTAGTTTAATTACTGAAGTAGTTTAAGTCTTTGGTTCTTTTAATTGTGATGATTTTGGCTCACATTTAACAAAAACCCACCAATTCACTATCTCAACAAATTAGAATACTTCATAAGACCAATAAAAAAAAAACATTTTTAGTGAATTGTTGGCCTTCTGGAAAGTATGTTCATTTACTGTACATGTACTCAAATGAACTTTTCCACGGCATTCTAATTTATTGAGATGCACCTGTATATTCTTTTTCCAAGGTTTGCATGACTGTGACTCTAAAAGTATTCACGCTATCTTAATATCCTTCTAGATTCTCATTCTTAATAGACTTTCCTTTTGAAATCTTACTTTCCAAGGCCCATATAGTTCACTGTAATTTAAGAGACATAAAGGCAATTTTAAGCAAACTGAAACATAGGGTGCACAAAACATTTGTTTGAGATTATAATATGCTCTCCTTTAATGGAAAATATATGATATTTCTGAAGAGAATTGTTAGAAAAAATAAATACTATTATAATCAATGGACATGAAATGTATCCTAAATTGTAGAATGGCTCATGAGCAAGAGTAATACTGATGCTGGACTAAGCAAACACCATAGATAATGGATCTCTGTTTTCTCAGGAAGCCCATTTCAGTGATATCTGTCAGGCGGTTGGGTTTGTTTTATGTGTGGTATTCCAAAAAGTGCTTACAACAGCTATAAATCCGGACATCCATTTGTGAGAATGCTGCTGTGCGTTTTGCTATGTTTATAGCAGAACCTGAAGGCGTCTTAATAGTGCTCATGCTCTTTTCATTCTTCAGGCAGTTGTTCAGAATAGATGGAGTCAAGAGTGTCTTCTTCGGCTCTGACTTCATAACCATTACTAAGGTAAAGATCCGGCATTTTTAACAGTATTTTAATCTAACTTTATTTTTAAGCATTCTATCTCTTTATCCTCCAGGCTGATGGTCAAACAGAGTGGAAAGTGATCAAACCGGACGTCTTCGCCACCATTATGGACTTCTTCACCTCTGGACTTCCTGTTGTCAACGAGGCAGATGATCCACGTGCCGACACGAGTTAAACATTGCTTTCCCTTCTTTACGTCTCATCTTAACATCCTCACTAAATCCAAGATTGTTGAAAATGTTGTATATGCCATACATCTGCAGCTCCTTCTGAGGATGACGATGAGGTGGTGGCCATGATTAAAGAATTGCTGGACACACGCATAAGGTACCGCAGTAAATTACTGCACTTTTGTTAATGCAGGCTTTAAATTAACTTTTTTTTATGTTGCATACAAATTTAGTAGGTCATGTAAGTAAGTTCTCAAATCTCAAAAAGTGAGCTGCCTATAAAACCAGCATCCAAACTGAAACAGAACCACAGAAATGATTGATTTGTGACATTCTACAAAGGCAGCAACTTGCATTAAGCATAAATATACACATAGTAGCACATACAAATATTGGGTAAATGGTCAGTGTAACTATTTAAATATTAAACTGAAACAGAGCCACCTCTAATAAGCATAACTAGGCCTATACATGAAGTAGCAAACACAAATATTAGGTAAATGGTCATTGTTTTTATTAGTAAAGTATTAATATTGAATCTTTATAAATATTAAATAAAATGTATTTATAGGCAATGTTTATCTTGCGTTGTCTGCCACCTTGGATTTATGTTTACCCCTGAGCTTCTTACATTTAAAAAATGTATGCAATGCTCCGTTAGAATATGACCAAAGCAAGGTATCGTTGAGCTTTCTCGGTTTTTGTTTAACTTATACATTACCATCCACAAATTTACTTTTTCTAATACTTTTGAAATTAATACTTTTATTCGGCAAGGATGCAATAAGTTTATCGAAAGTGACAGTAAAGACATTTATGATGTTACAAAACATTTCAGTTTCTAAGAAATGCTGTTTTATGCAACTTTGTAATCATCAAAGATCCTAAAAATGAATCATGGTTTCCACAAAAATATGCAGCAGTAAAACTGTTTTCAGCATTGATAATAATCGTGTTTCTTGAGCAGCAAATCAGCATATCAGAATGATTTCTGAAGGATCATGTGACACTGAAGACTGGAGGAATGATACTGAAAATTCAGCTTTACATCACAGGAATAAATATATAAAAATATATTGTAATTGGTGAGCAGAAGAGACTACGGTGTTGTACTGTTAGGCTGCTTCATTCTAAATAGAACATTTTTGCGCAACAGGAATAGACACATGGACTAATATGTCACATGGACTATTTTAACAATGTCCTACCTTTCTGGACCATTAAACGTTTCAGTTGCATTGCTGTCTATGGAGGTTCAGAAAGCTCTCGGAATTCATCAAAAATACCTTAATTTGTGTTCCAAAGATGAGCGAAGGTATGGAAGCCTGTTTCCGCCACTGAATAAAAAAATTTTTTTTTTTATCTCACAATTGACTTTTTTTTCACACAATTTTTTATTCAGTGGCGGAAACGGGCTTCCATACAAAGGTCTTATGGGTTTGGAATGACATGAGGTTGAGGAATTAATGACAGACTCTATTTGCATGTGTACTTCAGGCCCACAGTGCAGGAGGATGGTGGTGACGTGTTGTATTGGGGTTTCGAGGATGGCATTGTAAAGCTGAAGCTGCAGGGTTCCTGCACCAGCTGTCCCAGCTCCATCATCACGCTGAAGAGCGGCATCCAGAACATGCTGCAATTCTACGTTCCCGAGGTGGAAGGAGTCGAGCAGGTGAGGAGTTAGAACGGATAGTCCGCTCTCAAGTTGTTTCAATGGGTTAGCTCCTGCGTACCTAACTAGTCTTCTACCACGCTACAATCCGAATGTCTCCCTAAGGTCGCAAAATTCTGGACTTTTGGTAGTACCTAGGATATCAAAGTCCACTAAAGGAGGTAGAGCTTTTTCGCATTTGGCTCCCAAACTCTGGAATAGCCTTCCTGATACCGTTCGGGGTTCAGACACACTCTCTCTGTTTAAATCTAGATTAAAGACACATCTCTTTGGCCAAGCATTCAAATAATGCATCTCATAATCTTTTACTGCAGTCATAATCTTTTACTGCAGTTATATCTAATCAAATGCACATTATTATTCATTAGTTTGGGTTAAACAAATCATTTTTGCTTGGTTGGAACAGCAGCTACACTAATTATGTTTGTATTTGTTTCTCTGTCGTTTGCCACGGGATTAACATCCCGTGGTAACTAGCATTTACACAAGCTTCAGTCTGGATCCAGAACACCTGAGAAGAGATGATGCAACTCCTCAGAGGACCTCAGATGATGCCAACCCTGAAACAACATACAGAACTACCACATTTTGCTATAAGTTTGATTGCATCATATAATAATTGCTGTTAATATTATTCATCGTCTGTTTTATTACGTCTTATATTGATTTTTCCGTACTGCTGGTTCGTCTGGTCAGAGGAGAACTGGCCCCCCGACTGAGCCTGGTTTCTCCCAAGGTTTTTTCTCCATTCTGTCACCGATGGAGTTTTGGTTCCTTGCCGCTGTCGCCTCTGGCTTGCTTAGTTGGGGACACTTCATTTCCAGCGATATCGTTGACATGATTGCAAAGATATTATTTAAACTGAACTGAGCTGGATGTTGACATCACTGAATTCAATGATGAACTGTCTTTAACTGAAAAATGAGTGTTTACTATTGTCATTTTGCATTATTGACACTATTTTCCTAATTAATACTGTTCAGTTGCTTTGTCACAATCTGTATTGTTAAAAGCGCTATATAAATAAAGGTGACTTGACTTGACTTGACTTGTTTCAAACCTGTGTGACTTTCTTCCTTCTGTGGAACATGAAAAGATGTGTTGAAGAATGTGGGTAACCAAAGAGTTTCGGTTCTCATAGACTTCCATTGTACTTTTTGGCCACACGATGGATGCCAATGGGAACCAAAGCTGTTTGGTAACCAACATTCTTCAAAATATAATTTTTACGCTTCGTAGAAGAAAGTCATACAAGTTTGGAATGACATGAAGGTGGGTAAATGATGCCAGAATTCTCATTTTTGGGTGAACTAATTTTCTTGCAATGATGTCCCCCTGTGGTTTTGTGAGAAGATTCACTCAGCTGTAAGTTATGTTTCTGAGCTAATATTCTGTGCCTTTAATCTTGTAGGTGAAGGAAGAGGATGTGGATGTTGAAAAAGAAGTCCAGTGATATGAGTTTCAGTTGACTTCATCCTTTCTTCCTAATAAATTACCTAGCACACTTCAATGTCCGATCATGTAGAAGGAGTCTTGAGTTTAGCAGAGACTATTCGGTTACACAGCAGTAAGGAAAATGGACAAATCTTCCCATTCCTTTAAACACGTATGTATTAGCTACAGACATTGATATTAAATCAAGTGTGCAGCAAATAGTTTTAGCCAGTGGGCTTTACCCATGGACAGTGTTTGGTTGGTGCTGTAATAGGTTTGGGGTTGGTCGCCGATAATATTTTATAGATTATCACTCGTTGCACTGGTTAAAACAAAAGGCAGAATTTCATGTATTTGTGCACATCGTAAGAAATCGACTGTTTTCATGCTTAATGGATTTTCAGGAATCCTGATTGTATCATGGGTCGTTCTACATTTAAAAAAAATAGAATTATTTAATAGAGATTAAATTTGTAAGATTAATAAATAATGAATCTTGTTTTTTTTTTCATTTGATAGAAGGATACACTAAATAAATGAAAAACAAAAAATAATTTTCATCCACCGTTGGCTGAAGTGCTCTTCTGTCGGTGCTTTTGTACCTTGTTAGATGAAACACTTGTATTCCTCATTTGTTGTTCAGATAACAGCATCTGCTCAAATAATAAATATAACTGTATTACTGTTAGGGCTGCACAATTAATCAAATGTCTAATCGCGATTACATTTATGAATGCCACAATTATGTAATCGTTCAAAGCGGCAATTAATCGTTCAAAGTCCACTTATGTTATTCTGCACGCTTAAGATATGTTTTTTTCTTTCTACATGTTATCTTAAGGGTTTTTCCATTGTTTTAGTTTTAGTATAACATTATAATACCATTCATATTTTTTATAATTTAAAGAAGAAACCAATCCGATGTATATTTGACATTTGAGGCTTAATACTACAGAAAAGCACTAAAGGTTTTTCAGTTAGAGTGTTTTCAGCTTGTTTATTTTCATATAAAAATACGGCATGCAGTTGCATCAAACAATGGTATAAACATCATTCAATGTAAATTGTGATAATCGTAATTAATAATCTCAATTACAATTTCAAGGGAATAATCGTCAATTATGAGTTTTGTCATAATCGTGCAGGCCTAATTACTGTATGTAATTCTAATATTACTTCAAAATATGTTCAGAAAATATGTCTTTGAAAAATATGTTCAAAGACATTTTGATTAGTGGCTATTCAAAATGGCCCTTCAAGTATTCTAATATTTTTTTTATGGACTTGCAGAAGAAAATATTGGATGTAGAAACTATTGTGGCTCAAAGTGCTGTACAAGTTAGAATAATAAAAAAAAAAAATTAAGTACACTAATAATAGCAAAACAGTTAAAACAGAACACTCTTATAAACTAAAAGCAATAGAGAATATATAAGTTTTGAGACATGACTTGAACTCAGACAAAGTGGAGGCCGATCTAATATAGAGTGGGAGCTTGTTCCCTTGTAGCTTTTTAGATTTTAGTTTTGGGTGTCTGAAGGAGGAGTTTATCTTTGGATCTAAGGCCTCTGGTGGGAGAGTAGGGGTGAAGTAGATCGGACAAATAAGAAGGTGCTAAATAATTTAATGATTTATATACCAGTAATAAAGTTAAACTCAGTTCTAAAATGAATCGGAAGCCAGTGAAGGGATCTCAGAAGGGGGGTGGCGTGATCAAATGACCTCTTTCCCTTCAGGAATCTCGCCGCAGCATTTTGAACGACCTGTAAGCGTGCCGTTTGGGACTTAGATATGCCAAAATAGAGGGAATTGCAATAATCCCGGCGAGAGGTAATAAGAGCATGGATAGCAATCTCCAAGGAGCGCTTAGGAAGAAAGGATTTGATTTTCGATAGAGAACGAAGAAAGAAAAAGCTGCACCCAATGACCGTGCTAATCTGCTTGTCAAATTTGAGGCAATTATCTACCATCACACCTAGATTCCGTACTTGGGGAGAGATTAATTGATTTAAAGATTCAGGGTCAAGGTGATTTCTTGGCCTGAATTCTGAGGGGGTCAAAAACAATGACTTCTGTTTTGTCTGAGTTCAGAAAAAGAAAATTCTTGGCAAGCCAAGCTTTCACATCCTCAAGACATGCTTTTAGGTTGCCTAGAGCACTCTTATTTCCTAGACACAGGCATATAGATTTGCATATCATCGGCATAACAATGAAATTAGACATTATGTTTCCTAAAAATGGAACCCAGAGGGAGAAGATAGAGAGAAAAAAGGACAGGAGCTAAAACAGAGCCTTGAGGCACACCACAGGATAGACTGCGAAGAGAAGAAGAGAAACATCCTATTTTTACAGAGAAAAGTCTATTGGTTAGAAAAGATTTAAACCAACTTAAAACAGTTGTTTTAAAAATTGTGACAACTAGCACATCACTTCAGATTTTACAGAGAAATGTCTATTGGTTAGAAAAGATTTAAACCAACTTAAAACAGTTGTTTTAAAAATTGTGACAACTAGCACATCACTTCAGATTTTCTATCAGAGAACTATCATCTTTATTTAATAGTCTTTTTAATCATCATATTTATATATTTATTAATATATTGCAGCGGTGGCGAACTCCGGTCCTGGAGAGCCGCAGCCCTGCAGAGTTCAGCTCCAACCCTAATTAAAACTCACCTGCCTGTAGCTTCCTAGAAACCATTCAGACCTTGATTAGCTTGTTCATGTGTGTTTT